GTAATGGGGTGAGCTCCCGTGACTTGTCCCAGCTTCTGCCAAACCTAACAGTTTGAAAGCACGTAAAAAATGCAAGTAGGAAAATAGGGACCACCTTTGGTGGGAAGGTAACAGTGTTCTGTGCACCTTTGGCATTTAGTCATGCCGGCCACATGACCACAGAGACGTCTTCGGACAGTGCTGGCTCTTTGGCTTTGAAATGGAGATGAGCACCGCCCTCTAGAGTCAGGAACGACTAGCACATATGTGCAAAGGGAACCTTTATCTTTACCTAGCCTCTTTGAATGTGGATTTCTTCTTGAAATGTTGTGTATAGATGTGTTATTGTTCTTGTTTTTTTGTTGACTAAGAATAAAGTATGGATGAGTAAATTTTAGAACATAGATTGTTTATATGTAGTTGGAACCAGGACTGTGCTAGTTCTGTTTCTGAAATTGTTTCTGTCCAATTTTCACAAGAGCTGTGTGAAGCTTTGACTCAGAGTCAGTTTGGAGGCATTTCAGTTAAATCAACCCTTCAAATAAAATTATGGATTTAGTGTGTCAAAGTGAACAGAATGCTTTTGAATCAAAATCCATTTCTTTTCTGGATCAGATCAAATCCGTTTGGTTTGGATCACAAACCTGACCTGAATTATAAATGCAAATCAGTTTGACGGATGAAATCAGTGCGATGACTTGTATTGGATCAAAGCTGATTAGGACACCCTGGTTTTACTCTTGGATTTTTTTATTATTATTATTGAGCAGCCTTTTAGTTTTAATTTTGTTTTCCTTTGGATAATCTGGTCAGGCTCTTTTCCCTGACAGCCCTAAAAAGCTTGGTTTTGAAAAGCTTGAGAGGAAAATATCTCAAACTGTGCTGTTGTTTTTGGAGTAAGCCACAAATGGCTAAAGTCGCATGGCATGCTGAGCTTTCAAAAAACAACAACCATGATTTAGAGTCCCTAATAGCTGAGATTCACGCATCACCCTAAGCCAACAGACAAAACCGCATAGTGGCTTCGTACAATAAATCAGTTCATTCCCCCCCCCACCCTTTGATTATTGCTGGCTGCAAAACAATTGCTTGGTAGAATCTCTGCCTCTTGAGAGCCATGCTGTCTCAATCCAGTGGATGCTTTATTTTTTTCACAGTGATTGACCAAACGTCTTTGACTGACTCACAAGCCAAGTGTGGCTGTGAGAGTAGGCACCTGCTTATGTTCCTTAGCAACAAGTATACCCATCTTTGGATCCCACGGGTCACATACAGTTGTTATGACAATTGCGCTATAGATAGCTTTTATCCTCTATGGGCTTCCGTACTTCCTTGTCAGCTTCAGGTCTATGTAGATGCAACTTATAGATCTTCCTTCAGTTAACTCATTATTCTGCATTCATTTATTTAAAAATCTTAGGATTGCCAACAGACCTTGACAATTAAATGGGATCTCTTCTCTGCCTTGTTGTAGTGGTAGAAAAGAGCTTAAGAGTTGGATAAAGAATTAAAGTTCAGGCCCCCAAAAGGGGGATTTGCAATCTAGAAAGAGAGATAATAAAGGGAAAAGTAGAGAGTGATTAAGGAAAGAACTGGAGACCGGTTTTATGTTGTGCCAGAGAATGAATTGGTTGTGTCCGATAACAGCTTCTATTACTCGGTCTCTACTCAGCATCATGGGACTTGTAGTCCAGAGTATCTGGAAGGCACCAAATTAGGAAAACTAGGTTCTTCTCAGGATATCCAGATCTAGCAATGTAAAGCAGTAATGTTGGTTAACGTCTGTCAATCAGCACCTTCTGTGTTCAGAGTTTGTGGGTGTTAACAGCAAACTCTTTGACTGGGGAAGAGTCTTGAAAAACTGTAGCGCCACCATGGACAGCTCCTGGGCCCTTTCTTAACCGTTGCATTGCTGACAGCAAATCCCAGATTTGCACTGCACTCCCTGTCTTGTTCATGCAATGATTCCCTCTTTCTTGTTCCCTCCGGGATGGGGGCAGCGAAGCTCTCAATTTCACTGTACTTCTTACTTCTGCTAGGAAGGAGTGAATGAAAAGTCTTTAATATTCGGCCTTGCCGATTCATACTCGGCTGTCTCTATCTTACTGTTCCGTTTTGATCCATTCCTTCCCACTTGGGAGGGAGAATTAAAGTGAAGTGGGTTTTATAGATGCTTTTTGCCATTGTAGAACTGGAGAAACCATTGCTTAGATCCAGGCTGGGTTCATTTGTTGTTGTGAAGTTGCCTGTTGCATCTCCTCTTTTAAGAGTTACTTTACAGATTTATAGATTAACAGAGTTGGAAGGGACCTTGTAGGTCATCTAGTCCAACTCCCCACCCAAGCAGGAGACCCTACACCATTTCTGACAAATGGCAGTCCAGTCTCTTCTTGGAAGCTTCCAGCAATGAATCTCCCACAACTTCTAAAGGCAACTTCTGTTCTATGGGTTGATGGCTCTCAATGTCAGAAAATTCCTCCTTATTTCTAGGTTGAATCTCTCCTTGTTCAGTTTCCATCCATTATATCTTGTCTGGCCTTCCGGTACCTTGGAAAATAGCCTGACCCTCTTCCTCTTTGAGGAAGCCCCTCAAATATTGAAAGACTGCTATCATGTCTCCCCTGGTCCTTCTCTTCATCAGACTAGCCACTTTTTTGCAAGATTGGAAAAAAGTCCATAAGAGGTTTTTCAATCATTAATAAATGTAGTTATTGATCTTTCTCTAATCAAACCAACCCTATGTTTAATTAAAGAGCATGAGATCAAGGCCGTTTTTAAACAATAGCTGTCCAACCTTTCCTTTAAGTCCTCTAGAAAGAAGAAACCTGTTTTTCCTCTGTGTCATAGTAATGGAGGCTGCTGATTTAGGATACAAGAGGGTGGATTTTATTTTTTATCTCTAGGCTTTTGATTTCTCAAATAGGAGATCTTCATGGCCTTGCCACATTTGCCAAGACAGGCTATGTCCAGGGGTGGGCTTCAAAAATTTTAGCAAGGGGTTCTCTGCCTGGTTGCTGGGTGGGCGTGGCCATGGTGGGTGTGGCCTAGTCAGCCTCCTGCACCATGTCAGGGGTGTGTGTTTTTGCCCTCCCCAGGCTCCGGAGGCCCTCTGGAGGCTGGAAACGGGCCCATTTCCTGTCTTCCTGAACTTCCGGTAGGCCCGTTTTTCACCCTCCTCAAGCCTCTGCGCATGCCCTGCACTTACCTGCATCCAAAACGGGCCACATTGGGACTCCTGGGAGGGGCGGGGTGGGCGGGGCCAGCCAGGAGGGGAATTTGGGGGTTCTCCGTACTGCACAGAATTTTAGCTAGAGGTTCTCCCAAACCCCTAAGAACCCCCAGCAGTCCACCCCTGACTATGTCAAGAAACCAAGCAAAATGGCTGTCAGAGTTCCAGAAAACCCCCACTCTGAGTAAAGATATAGAAGCAAGCATTTTCCAGAGTTCTCTTTACTAGAATAGGTAAACTGGCACATCTAGGAAAACCCGAATCTGAGAAATCCGGGTTTTCCCTCAGTAAATCAAAACCCCCAAAACCATCCCCTCACTCCTCAGTCGATCACATGTTCCAATCAACGTCTGTCCCATCTCGACTCCGCACTCCGACCACTCCTTCTCCAGATGCCGGATCGCCCTGACCTTGATCGACAGGAAGAATGCTATTATGTCTACCGACAACCCCTCGACTAAATCCCCCCTCCTACTTTCCCACACAGGAGAAGGTGGCAGCATGGAAGCTTCCGGCCTAATATGGCTTCTAACGCTGACAATGGCTTTCCTGGAAATTCAAAACTGCATATTGAGAGAAACTGAATGCTATAGCTGGCACTTTTTTAAAAAAAAAAAGTCAGTGAGTTATGTGAATTGATGAATATGAAGCTGTTAAAAATTTTACATATTTTCTATACACACACACAAAACACTGTGATGTTTTTGTTGTTCTGTCTTCACAGCTTAGACACTAGCTGCAGTCCCAAAACCTCTCAAGAGCATTCAATTGTGGGACTAGTTTCCAATATACTTTTACTCATGTATCTTTGCATTCCCTTGAAATTAAGGCAGGATTTTGAGCCCGAGAGCCATGTACATATAATTGTCTATTCTGGGAACTGGTTAACTTTGAAGCGAGAGATGATTTCAAAGCTCATTATTAAAATTAACTTGAGATTAAGCTGGAGGTTTGACTATATATATACTACATAAGAAAAGAGCCCTTGTGGCGCAGTGATTAGAATGCAGTATTTCAGGCCAACTCGGCCCACTGTCAGGAGTTCAATTCTGACTGGTTCAAGGTGGATTTGGCCTCCTACCTTCAGAGGTTGGTAAAACGAGGACCCAGATTGTTGGGGTAAATATGCTGACTCTGTAAACCATTTAAAGAGGGCTGTAAAGCACTATATAAGTCTAAATGCTATTGCTATAAAGTCTGAGATCTTTTCCAATTCTGTAACTCTTGAATGATCATACTTTTTTTTTCTCTGTTTGATCTGTTAACTGTTAAATCTGCAGAGTACCTTCAACCCTGATATAAATTTATAAATCCTAATTTGTATGATTGACACTGGGTGTTGTGCCCTGTAATTCTTGACGAGGGTATCTTGTCTTTTTATGTACACTGAGAGCATATGCACCAAAGACAAATTCCTTGTGTGTCCAATCACACTTGGCCAATAAAGAATTCAATTCAATTCATACAACTTTTTAATTATATGATCATCAGAGTCCATTAAAATCTTATCTAAATTAGTCAAGACATTATAAAAACCTTCTTGCTTGAGATCTTCTCGATATCTAGAAAATATTTGCATATATGAAAACCAGTCCATCTTATACCTGAAATGGTTGAATAGTTGAAAAGTGTAATAAATGAAATCACATTATTATTATTTATCTGCATATTTGTAAAAAGTTTCTAAATCAGGGTTCTATCTGCCTAAAACCAACCAAATGGTTACACAATTGGCATTCAACATAGGTTTTTTATGGAGGTCTAAGTCTCATGGATGTTGTTTGTCACACCTTTGTCTTACTCCAGATTGTCCTGGGTTGTTATGAATCTCCTCGGAAAGCGAGATAGTTTTCATTCAAGAAGATGCATTGCCCTCCCCAGGGAGGTATATACAGTAACATGGTTGACCATAACAGCAAAAGTCCTAAAACATGTGAAGATGTTTGCTTCGGAGTCTGTGCTTCCGGTGGCTGGAACAAAGGTGTCTCTTTCTGCTCTCATATCAAGGTAAATTATTCAGCTTTATCTTTTGTTTCTCTAAATCAATTTTCCCCTAACTCAAGAGACCGCCGGAGACAAGGTGCTGTGCCTCCCAGCTAACCTATTGCACGATATCCTTCCTCACCCAAAACGGGGTTGATGGATATTAACATTCAAGATACTTGGAAGGCAGATTAGGCCAAGCAACGCTGAGCCTTATCTCCGTATTAACGTGATAACATTCAACACTCTCTGATATTTTTTATCAAGTCTTTAACTTTCTTTCAAAGTAAGAAATAGCTTCTTTTTTGATAAAGCTAGAAAGTCAGGGCAGTCTCTCGTTTTTTAGCTCTCACTTGCCAATATTTGGCTTAAGAATTGTTCTTGTAAAGAATTAGAGCGAGTCTTTGGGTCTCTTCCTTTCTTAGATTAAAGTGAAGAACTGTTTGATCTCTTGCAGGTCAAGGGTCTGCAACAGATAAGTGGCTACGTTGGCTTAGAAGCTAACTTCAACTTTTGATAAGAGTTAAATCAGTTTTCTTGTCAGCTATATTTCACAGTACAGTTCTGTTGAACGGACTGATCAGAGTTGGGAAAGAGGGCATTAGAAATGTAAAACCAAGCTTGTTGAAACTTGTTCCCCAAAACCCTACTAGAAGGAGGAAAAAATGCACATCCCTCTAGCTCAATGTTTCTCCATCTCAGGAACTTCAAGTTGTATGAACTTCAACTCCCAGGATTCCCCCAAGTTGAAGTCCATATGTCTAAAAGGTCCTGAGGTTGAGAAACAATGCCCAGCTGTTATCAGATTCCAATAGTACCCTTTGGCATGACCACTAATCGAACAAAATTAGCATAGTTGCCTATTACCCATTTCTGTTCAATGTTTTCTGAGCACCATCTGCTGTTCAGGCTCAGTAAACCTCCTTTAGAGAATCAGATCTGCTTCTTTCCTTGCTTGGTACCCCTGGACTTTGAAATTCTTTGAGTGCCAAAGAATTGAGGCCTTTGAACTCTGGTGCTGGAGAAGACTCCTGCGAGTCCCTTGGACTGCAAGGCGATCAAACCGGTCAGTCCTAGAGGAGATAAACTCTGACCGCTCTTTAGAAGGCCAGATCCTGAAGATGAAACTCAAATGCTTTGGCCACCTAATGAGAAGGAAGGACTCACCGGAGAAGAGCCTAATGCTGGGAAAGATTGAGGGCAAAAGAAGAAGGGGACGGCAGAGGACGAGGTGGCTGGATGGAGTCACTGAAGCAGTCGGTGTGAGCTTAAATGGATTCCAGAGGATGGTAGAGGACAGGAAAACCCAAAATTCCCAATGAGCCCTCAAGCCCAAGAAATATTTTGTCTGGCAGTAGCTTCTAAAGAACTTGGCTACCTCAGCCTTTTATCTTTTGATGGTCTTATTTCTTCTGTAGGCAAAACTTGTGCCTTCTGTCTGAATTTCTTCCTTTCATTCTCTCAAGATTGGGTCTCCAATCTTGGCAACTTTAAGACTTGTGGACTTCAACTCCTAGAATTCCTCAGCCAGCTTTGCTTTTTCTGGGAGTTCTGCTCTTGACAAAAGGAAGTAGGCATATTAAGGGTATAAGTGCCACTGTTTAAAAGAGGTGGCTTAGCTGAAATGGAATATTAAATAAAGACCTTAAAGAAAGTTGAGCCGTTATAGTGCTTATAGATTGTCCTCTTTCTCCCCCTTCCCCTGCCCCTCCCCTTTCTTCCTCCTCCTCCTCCTCTACCACTTTCGGGGTCAAGGGAGATACAGAGTTCTGGTTCTTGCTTTTCTGGATTAAAGTTTTTAAATCAAATTGACATTTTAAATGGGCAAAGAGTGACCTTGTACAAAAGATCTAAAGGCAGCACAACTAATTTCCATTTTTCCTGCCCTGTCCACCTTTTCCCAGGAGTATCCATTATGGGTCTGATGAGTTGAAAGGAATCATTCTGGATCTGATGGATGAAGTGACCAGTTAGCGAAATCACTGTTGCCCACACCACCTACGCCATGTTTCCAGCTGAAAGACAAGTTCATACTGCTATCCTGCCCTGAAAGCCGAATCAGCCAAATGAAAATTAATGGTATGATTTTTTTATTTTTATTTTTTTAAAAAATCCCTTTACTACACTCTTCTTTGGAGAATGAGACACTGTATACCACTGAGTTTCTTCAACTAGTTTAGTCTAGTTTAATGAAAAGAAGGATTAGGGGAGACATGATAGCAGTCTTCCAATATCTCAGGGGCTGCCACAAAGAAGAGGGAGTCAAACTATTCTCCAAAGCACCTGAGGGCAGGACAAGAAGCAATGGGTGGAAACTAATCAAGGAGAGAATCAACTTAGAACTAAGGAGAAATTTCCTAACAGTTCGAACAATTAATCAGTGGAACAACTTTCCTCCAGAAGTTGTGAATGCTCCAACACTGGAAGTTTTTAAGAAGATGTTGGATAACCGTCTGTCTGAAGTGGTGTAGGGTTTCCTGCCTAAGCAGGGGGCTGGACTAGAAGACCTCCAAGGTCCCTTCCAATTCTGTTATTCTATTTCTATTCTAACTCTTTATTTTAGGAGGTTCACTCCTTTTGCTAGACAGAGAAGTGCTTTTACTAGTGGTAACACAGAAAGCTTTATTTGATATTTGATTCCTTTCCACTTTCTTGACAATCCTGGAAAACATTGGTTGCATGGTCAAGTCTTCTAGTGAACAATTACTGTTTATTTATTTTCTAAGGACTGGCAACTGACTTCTCATTTTCACCCATTGTGCCTTCTGGTACTGACTGATCTTCCCGAGGCTTTGTCCAAATAGTCTTTTCAAAGGGTTGTGGTTCTAGCAATTGACAATTCAATGGAGCTGATTGAAGAGCTGTTATTTTCCATCTGAATCTATTTTTCACCCCCCTCTGGAAGGAAAAATGATTGAAGAAGCAACAGGGAAAAGCGGGAGAGATAAAGAGAGGGTAGAGTATCATCAAGGCAGTTTCTTAAATACTTCAAATGAGGTCATGACTTCTCATCCAGAAGTATCCATAGCAGACGAGACATTGGGGAAGATAATAATTAGATCGGTGGCTTGTTTTGAATTGGGTTAATTAATAATAGGGGACTGTGGTTTGTTTGTTTGTTTGTTTTAGCAAGGAAGCCCATTTTATCTTTCTATGGGGGGGAGATAGTAGATGGCATAGACACGAGAGCAGAGGTTGAACTTTTGTCAATAGAAGATTCCTACTAGGGATTGAATCAATGCCAGTTTTTCAGCTACAGTTTTTCTGTCTTTTGGAGGGCAGATGAAAGTGATATACTTGTCCAGATATGGCTTGTGGTTTCTTATCCCCGTCTTTGTTACAACATCTTTCTAGGGAATAATTGTTTTAGTTTATAAATACATGCCCAAGGATGTGGTCCTAGATTTGTTTAATTGTATAGTAGTAGCCTAAACTGTGGGAACCTTTTGGGAAAAGTGTATTTTTGAGGTTTGATGGCTAATAACATCACTTTTTTTGGGGAGTTTCAAGATAATCCTATTCCACTGCTGGAATAGCCTGGGAATAGCCCAGACCTTAACCCAATTGAAAATTTATGGAGCCGACTAAAGAAACTTGTTAGTCAGAAGCGACCCAGCAATAAAACCCAGTTAATAGAAGCCATCCTTCAATCTTGGTTTCACATTAGAACAGCTGCAGAACAAAAAGACTTGGTTCACTCCATGGGAAGACGTTGTAAGGCCGTCATTCATGCTAAAGGTTACCCAACTAAGGATTTATTTATTTATTCAATTTGTAAGATTCACTGACATGGTGATCATTTTTGTATATCTCATTTTTTCTACGTGTTTCACTTTTCTTCTTTATACCGTAACTGCTATTCTAATGGCAAATCCTTCATAAAAGTTATTGCATTACATTCTTGATTAAATTATCTTTCCATTGATATACAATTTTATGGTATTACTACTCCAAAAAAACCACCCCCAAACACGTGGTATTATTAGCTAGTTTTAGAAAATACACTTTTCCCAAAAGGTTTCCACAATTTTGGCCACTACTGTATATACTGCTTTAGTTACAGAAGCAACTCTAGACATGCCCAGACATTGGGATTAAAACCAACAAAATAATAACCATATAGTTCCTATAATTTTGCCTATAATTTTAAGCCTTCATACTTTATTTCAGGGAAACATCCATTTCCTTCCTAATTAAAAGGGTTGATTATAGGCTGTCCATTCGTGATTTGGGAGAATAATACCCCATCAACATAGATAGGAATGAGCCAATTGGATCAAAAGTCTGATTTGGTATAAACAGCTTATTCATGATGAAGTGCTAAATGTATGCTGTTGATGTATCATCTAGTGGAATTTCTGTGGTCTGCTCAGGTTGTGTTACGGATGGGTTGTGAGTCCTTACAGGACCAAGTTGTGCTTTGTGAGATAGCTGTTTTGTTTTATTTATTATTCAACGTATACGCTTTTTCCTCTCCTATAAAATCTCCCTTATCTAGCAAGGGCTATCAAAGGGAAAACAAGATTAAAAATGAAGAGTTGCTGAAATCTTTGAGATTGTTGGCTTTATGTTGTGGGAATTGAATAAAAGAGAAGCTGTGTATGAATGGCCATATACATAGATGTGTCCTTCCTTTTGGCTTGTAGGTAGAACTGTGTTCTTGGATCTGATTGCAATGGATAAAAGTTTGGGATCATGGAAAGATTCCATCTGTTGGTACAAATGGAAGCTTCAATTTTAATTAAATAATTTGGCACATGCACATGTGTTACAGCGTTAATCCTGTTAACAACAACTGGTCAACCAACTTTGTTCTTGTAATCCCTGCTAATTTAGTACAGGTGGTTTTCTATGACCATAATTGAGCCCCAAATTTATGCTGCCAAGTGAGAAATTTGTTAAGTGAGTTTTGCCCCATTTTACGATTTTTCTTGCCACATTTGTTAAGCGAATCACTGCAGTTGTTAGATTAGCAACATGGTTGTTAAGTGAATCTGGCTTCCCCCCATTGACTTTACTTGTCAGAAGGTGACAAAAGGAAATCATGTGACCCCGGGACATTCTAACCATCATAAATGTGAGTCAGTTGTCAAGCATCCAAATTTAAATCATGTGACCTTGGGGGAATGCTGCAACCATCATAAGTCACTTTTTTCAGTGCTATTGTGTACTTTGAATGGTCACTAAGTGAACTGTCGTAAGTCGTCGTAAGTCGAGGACTGCCTGTACTGATAAATTGGGACACTTTAATTTACGGGGTACCCTGCTTTAATGTGGATTTTGTTTTATCTGTTTTAATTAAATGTAAAGTTTAGAAACGAGCAATGATGTTTAATAAAAGGTAGGCCAAAGGCCAAGGACTTTATCCAACCCGATCAATTTTATTATGCTATGCGTTGTGTCCTTGTCAGCTTTCCAAGCACTTAAATCATCATATTAGTTTAAACATTGCCTCAGTATGGATTCCCCCTCCCCTCCCCAGCCAAACGATGGCCTAGCGTCATGGGCTTCCAATCCAGTTTAAACTGTATACAAAGGAGTACTGATTTATGATCCTAAGGAACGTAGTATTATATATGAAAATTATGTTGCATTCCACAGAGCAAGAAAGATAATGGATGAACTGATGGTGTCAGTTTAGATCTTCCTCAGCTTGCATAGCTAAAAAGATTTGTGGTCTGGGGTAGGTTGGGGGACGGGGGTGGGGCATGGGATCATGTCAATCTCTCCTAAAGCCAAATCTTCCAGATCCCTTCTGGGCTTTCAAATATGAGAAGATTTGGGTCATTTCCAAAGAGTGAACTTATATATAGCTCGGTAACGCAATAAATAACCGTTGTGGTCTTCCCAACAATATGTGTTGAGGACTATTCCATAAAATGTTCGGTTGTGGTCAAATCTGGCACTCCACCTACCATACAAGATAATGCTGAAGGAATCTATCCAAAATGCTTTCAGAATGTCTTTTGGGCTCGCGGCCCAAAACTTCTATCTCTTTTCGCATGGGAGTGCGGGGATACCAAAGCACATACTGTACGTACTAGCAGGAGAGAGCATTAGGCAGCGAAAATGAAACCTTGGCCTAAAGAAATCAGTGACGTGGGGTTTATCAGGTGCTTTGCAAGTGTTCCATATGGTTGCCTTGTAGCGCCCTTGACTGGTCTCTGTGCTGTTGCTAACTCAAGGGGGGAAAACTCCCTGAGTTAGTATGGACTGGATAGGATGTAGGATGTAAGATAAGATAGAATGTAGGATGGAGCCGAGGTGGCGCAGTGGTTAGAGTTCAGCACTGCAGGCTACTTCAGCTGACTGCTAGCTGCAGTTCGGCAGTTCAAATCTCACCGGCTCAAGGTTGACTCAGTCTTCCATCCTTCCAAGGTCGGTAAAATGAGGACCCAGATTGTTGGGGGGGCAATATGCTGATTCTGTAAAAACCGCTTAGAGAGGGCTGTAAAAGCACTATGAAGCGGTATATAAGTCTAAGTGCTATTGCTAGGATAGGATAGGATAAAATGTAGGATAGAATAGGATAGAATATAGGATAAGGTAAAGGTAAAGGTTCCCCTGGCACATATGTGCTAGTCGTTCCCGACTCTAGGAGGCAGTGCTCATCTCCATTTCAAAGTCAAAGAGCCAGCGCTGTCCGAAGACGTCTCCGTGGTCATGTGGCCGGCATGACTAAATGCCAAAGGCGCCCGGAACGCTGTTACCTTCCCACCAAAGGTGGTCCCCATTTTTTCTACTTGCATTTTTTACATGCTTTCGAACTGCTAGGTTGGCAGAAGCTGGGGAAAGTAACGGGAGCTCACCCCGTTACACGGCACTAGGGATTCAAACCGCTGAACTGCCGACCTTTCGATCAACAAGCTCAGCATCTTAGCCACTGATCCACTGCGTCCCCGTTTAGAATGTAGGATAGGATAGGATGTAGAATAGGATAAAATGTAGACTAGAATAGAATATAGGATAGAATGTAGAATAGATTGCAGGATAGAATAGGACAGGACAGGACAGGACAGGACAGGACAGGACAGGATAGGACAGGACAGGACATTTTGTAACATTGCATAGAGTCACAG